CGTTCCATTATACTGTTACCACATCACTCAAGTTGACATGTACTAATAGAAACTGGTTTTTCATTGGTATGTGAAACCACGTATAACCACTTATAACATTAAAAAGTTGAGCAAGTTGAGGTTAAGCTTTTTCACGAGCAAGTAGAGAAGCTGTGACAATTTGCAATTTCAAATTACACGGTAAAACAGAAATGCGCGCCTCAGGGTTGAAGTATCTCCTCTATAAAGCATACACGCTGGTTAGCTCCAAGTGGCTAATTTAGAATTATTCACCAAACGAGCCAGCTCCTTTTTTACTCGTTTGCTCCTTTGTTACCGTTGCCAAGCCAAACGGGCCACTAAAGTAATACGCACTTTTAGAGCGGGGTAGGTTCATGATTGAAGTCTGAATCAACAAGCTGTAAGCGAGAGAAATAAAAGAAATTTGACGAAGAATGGCGAGAAATAAATTATCATCGAGAAGGACAAGAGTTAGTGTGTTACGAAGTCATAATGTGCCGGCACCCGACCAGCAACCATATTGAGTTCTGCCGCGCTGTGCTTAAGCTTCTTTAAAGAAAAAGAAAATTGTCGGCCAGAAAATAGAATAAAGGATTGTCACTGGCAAGATGTGTTTCTGCCGAGAGTCTCCTGAGACTCAGCAGGACGCCTTTGCGTTCCCATCAGCGGTGTTCGCGCCAAAACTCGTGCACGTGACATTGCTGTGTGGCATGGGGTTTCGTTTTTGTTTTTGTTTGCTTAACTCTCGCCATTCTGTCTAGAGTTTGTCATGTAGTTCGTTGCGTAAATAAATCATGCTAAAATTGAACGTATTCGTCGTCCTGAATCCTCGTTAAATCGCCGGAACAGGCGGTCTGTTTTTCAAGATTTTAATTGGAACAACTCCACAACAACCTGTCCGCACCGAAAAGGCATGCATCAGTCGGAAATGATTAGATCAACCTTAACAAAACAATTTTTTCGGATAGCGCATTTCGTAACCTTTCCATCAATAAAATTAGTTTACAGTGGTTACGCTTCAAACAGTGCGTTGACAATTTCTTTTGGGAAAGACACCCGCGAAGGTATATTGTTTTCATCAAGATGTTAGATCAGAGACATGCGCAGTCGATTGCGTGTTGTATATCCGGGATGTTTGTGATGACATCACGTAAAATGCACGTGGAAATATCGGTAGACAGCCGTCCCACTCTGCTCGAGATCAAGGGCACGATAGACGAGATGAGTTTTTAAAATAGATGTCTTTAATTGCTTGTGGAAGTATTCATCAAGGTCTTGAACGGTTTAGTGATGACTCTTAGAGGACAAGAGAGTTTTATGTGTTTGGCTGCTCTATTATGCGAACAATTTTTGCCGATTCGCGAGTGGAGTTGCCAAGATATCGATCAAGTACTACTTCATGGAAATATTTTTTTCTCAGTGCATTCAGCAGCAGTGAAGTGTTAGTCAAAAATGGTGCCATTCGCAGTAAACGTTCTTTTCTTAACTCAAGAAAAAAATATTGGGGGGCTCTGTTGTTGTTTCACAAAAGTCCTTTAAAACTGAACAAGGTGGAAAAATCGTAATTCTCTTTTAAAAAGCCACA